ACGTTCTTATGCTTAAAAGCCCTTTCTATGGAATCAAAAAATAAGTTCCATGCTTCACCATTTTTAGGTACAGAAATCGATAATGCCTGTACAGCTTTCAAAAGCTTATCTAATGAAAGTGTATTTTCTACGTTATTACTAGATTCGTTGCTACTTTCGATTTGCATTAAACGCAAGTTTCACAATTTCTTCTGACTTTTTCCTTTCTTCAACCGTAGTATTAAGAAATTCAATAACAAAATCTTTATCTTTCAAATATTCTTTAGAACTTAAAAGCTTATCTTTTAATTCTACAACTTTTAAACTAGAATCGGCTTCTTCACCTAGTTCCTTCAACACCGAAATCAAATCACTTTTAACTACTCCTTTAAACATATTTAGAAGAAATTTTCCTTAAAGTTACAACAAAAATTTCTCACCTTTTCTCAAAATCCAGTCGGCTTCGTTCGCTCTGGTTCTCGAAAGAGAGCGTGCTGTAATGACCTTACGGATGAATAAGGCACCATAAGGAAAACGACACTAACATTTATTAAAAATTAACTTTCAAAGAATAATGGGAAAAAAATTAACATTTAAAGAATAATGGCAAACTCGGAGCACTACCTCGCTCCTACAACATAATTAATCTACCACCTGCCTCCTCTGAGGCTAACATGCCACTCTCGTCTCTCACCTGCTGGGCTCTGCCAGGCAGCTGATTGGCTCACCGCTGCCAGATACATGACAGTCAGAATTCTTTTTTAAATGAAGAACACACAGAAAGACTTTGTGAGCTATAGTACCAGAAAATGTGTCGCCCATAAGGAAAATATCAGTCAGTAATGATCTATCTGCCTAATTTCTAAAATCCCATTTGGCAAGGTACCATTTTGACGTTTCAACATATAGGTCATTGAAGATGATTCCAAATGAACAGTGATGAAATGACAATGAGCAATGAAAAAAGCAATATAAGGCGTTTTCTTCAGAAGTACAAGACTGGTCAAATCAGTCAAGCTAGAGAGATTGAAAGAAGTTACATCTAACTGGTTCGCCACTGACTATTTTCCAGAAATTCTTTAGGAAATGAAAATTAAAGAACTCATTCTTCACCATGCCAGTTCATTTTCGCATTCAGTGAAATTTACAGCTACTAAGAGTAGAAGTTCTTGAACAAAAACAAGTTAAAAGAATGGAGCATCCACCCTATTCTACTGATCTTGTTATGCAGGACGTTGGACTATTTTTTAATCTAAAACAAAATTTATGTGGCGGTCATTTTCAATCAGAAAATGAGATTGATAAAGCTATAAAAGCAAATTTTTCCTCAATTCCAAGAAACTGATAGCTTGAATCATTTAATCTTTAGAGAAATCGCTCACAAAAATGAACTGTTGTTTCGTGGGAAATATTTTGAACACTTGTAGGGTCCAGTGAATGAACTTCTGTCTGTACACTGGAGTAGCAGGAAACTACATAGGAGAAGGGCTAAAGTATCCTTTATTAACTCTTTAAAATTTACAATGCGTTAACTCGACGCTAACAAGCTTCGCCTGTACTTGGGCGGTAACTGAAAGTCAGATAATTGAAACTAAAAGTTGAAATATTAACAAGTGATAAAACTAACCTACAGGGCTCAGCGAGATCCCGTAACTTAAACCCCCTTTGAGGCCAGTGTCAGCAGATAAATGCAATTAAGCCACTTGAACCAGCAATAAGCAAACGTACCTACGGCAGAAAGGGCAGCTAGAGCCCTAACTCTCTCTTTCTCCTACCGAAACTCGGCTTTTAACAACTTCCTTCAAAGTAGAAAATTTGCATTTCCTTCCGCGGGCTACAACATTAACTATTCTGGCACTGACAATTAGGGGAATGAAGGCCTACAGGAAAGGTCTGAACTCAAACTTTAAACTGTTAGTTAAAATAAATATAAATCCCTACAGTTGCCGATGCCAGAATTTAACAGACTTGGATAAAGGTTCTTAAAGACCTGTTACAAACTGTTAAACACTAGAAAAACAGCTCTGAGTCCCGTTTACATACAAGAACTAAACTTTGATTTAATTACAATACAAATAATTTGCTTTCATCGATTATCTTCGTTGTAGAATCCATCGTTCTTGCTCATTAGGGTACTCAGTCTTGTCCTTCCCCTGGAAGGAATAACTATGAATAAATGTTTCTAAACATACAATAAATAACACTTTACATTTACAAGCATTGAAACTTTTATCGAGTTTCTAACTCTTTAGACTTTAATGTAATTTCCTTTCGAACGCTACAACATTTAACTATTCTAGCACTGGCAATTAGGGGAATGATGACTTACAGGAAAGGTCTAAACTCAAACTTTAAATTGTTAGTTAAAATAAATATAAATCCCTTCACACTCTTGAAATTTCGTACGTTTAACTTGTACAATTTAGATGTATCTCAAAAATTTCAGAATGACCTGTGTATATTTGTATAAAATTCCACGCAGAATCTAGTCCAGCGGATTTAATATAAGCAAATCCTCAAATGCAAATTATTCGGCACATAAAGAATAAAAAGTAAGTCTCGAGTTCAGCTGATTATATTAATTTTCATGCAAAATATTTCATTATGGGAACATAAATACGACACAGTATCTTCGTATCAGGAAAAAATTTATCGATAACACACTCTTTCCTAAAATTTACCTCTTAAACCTCATCTTCGTGTTACTTGTAATTGAAATTTGCTTAACAAATTTTGCACTCAAGGCTCTGGTTTCAATCCAGATACCCCTCTAAAGCATAAAATAAGTACAAAAATAAAACAAAGGAAAAGAAAAGAACTCCTAAGCATTACCGGAAATTATCATGAAAAGTTATTCTAGAAGACTGGCAGTTAACTGTAAACAGATCCCGACGAAAATTCGTTAATCATGACGAAGTGGAAAACATACTGTTTATATCTTCGCAGAGATCTGCATGCATTCCTAAACAAATAACTTAATTTTAGTCTATCTAATACATAAATTTGATTCCACCCAACTCATTCCGTTCAGGGAATGAAGCTAAAAATTAATAACACTTCAGAAATATTTAATATGTGTGATTATTCTATAAGAATAACACGATTATGCAGCATAAATTTGAAGCTAAATCGTCTCAGGCTTTCTTTTCTTTTGATTACTGTAACAATTCATAATGAATGCAGTTTAGCCTGTTTAGAGATTCTTTTGGACTTGTCTTTATTTTGTACCAAGATTTATTTTTCTACTGAAAACAGTTTTTTAATTTCTTCAATTTATTCTAAACACGTCTTGGTTCGCTTACCTGTTTGACTGTTCATGCTAGTCTTAAAATCTGAGTATACTAACAATTGATTACAACAACTGTCTTAAAAGCTGGTTCAGATTTTCATGTCTGGTATGTTAATCATAGTTCCAAATGGCAAAGTAATAAATAATCATGATCTTTGATTATAAAAAACTTTACAACAATAAATATAGTAATGGAAGATGATAGTTATTTCTTGCCGAGTGACTGTGCAATTTATGCATCATTTTCTATGCCATTGTTCGTGAGGCGTTAATATGAATTAACACAAATATACGTCATGGAAAAGAGCCTACTACAAAAGTATTAACTTACAATCCTAAAGACGACATTTTTGTACCTTTGTTAACCTCAAAATGTCATTTATTATATATTTGATTCATATTAGAGATTCTGTTGTTTTCATGAATAGTTCATACGGATAGTTCTTATCTTTAAAATGATAAATGACATTCATCCACTGAAAATATTAGTTATTATTCTCTTTTAAATAAGCCAACAAGATATTTAGGATCGACATATTGCCATATCTTTGGAGCATACTAAACGCCATTTTGCCATTTTATTATACACAACTGCGAAGACTCACATTAACATACATTTCCTGCACGTTGTTCAGGTATTGTGTTTCCCAGCATTGTCTCTAAATCTTTATCCTTACTCCAATGTATATATCGCATTATTTGTTTGCAAATCTTATATCTTTGTAAGACATTATAGCTCTAAAAATACTTATCCTCACGATATTAATTATATATCTCAGTCAGTATCACAGTGTCTATAATTATTTAAGACATAATTCAAAGAATTACAGATTTAATGTCATGTGTTTAGTAACTGCATTAAGTACGTCGTTCTTACGCCCTGCTGGATCAAAGACTGTATACCTAACCATTAGACTGATGTATAACGTTTTATTAGGCCACTTTGTTTTCCATGACGGTACGGTTCGAATCCTGGAGAAGGCATGTATACTTGTAGGTGTCTAATGTCTTTAGGGCAAGAGGGCACTTAAATTACTATTGAGCCGAGAGTCGTCTAGAGAGATTGGTAGTACAGGAAAAGGGTTTGCTGTCCGTCGGATATACCTCCGATGTGTTTTATATCAAAATTGGAGCAGAGCATCTCCCTTCTCACTCGTGTAATTCAGCCACCCATTATGGTCATTCTGGGTAATATATTCCTTGATAACAAGAGTAAATAATCTTTACGTTTGGACCTCTCTAGACGAATGCGTTATGTTGAACGCATACAATATTTCAGAACAATGTACTTTTCTTTTACTTTTTTATCTTTTAAAGCACGTTCAGCTGTGCCATAAGGAAATTAGCATCACACGTATCTTCTAATGCCTTGTAATTTTCCCACTTACTTAGAAAGAAAAAATAACGTAACCATTACTATTTTAAGTTCGAAGATTTCGACCAGTCCTGCTCTTATAATCTGTGAAATCTATGGTGCTCGAACGTATATTCATAAATGTGCATAGACGCGCTTTGTGATATATTTGTTTTATTTATCTGTCTGCTTTTTTAATGTAAAACTTATAGCCATGGTCCGATGGATGAATGAGATGAATGCTGTATAGTTGAAATTATTTACTGATAGTGTACTTAGATTTTAATTTTCTGTATTAATTTACAATTACCATTTTTTTCTATTATTTCCTTATTCAGTTATTCATTAGTTGAATTGCTCATGTGCTTTGTTTTTTAGCCATCAGTGATAGATCTAACAGAAGAACCCGTGGCCCAAAGTTCTTCCATGAACCTCCAGAAATTGTAGAATTTTCTAATTCTACCGGAGCTGTGGTGACATGTTCCGCATCAGGTCTTCCTGAGCCAGTGATGCGATGGGAAAGGAAAGATGGAATGCCCGTGTCAAACATCCTCGGCATCCGGCAAATACGGCAAGACAACTCTCTTGTGTTTCTCCCCTTCGATGTGAGCAAGTATCGTCAAGATGTCCACTCTGTGATTTATCGCTGCACAGCGACGAATAAAATAGGAAAAATACGAAGCAGAGACGTTGTCATCAAAGCAGGTATGTTGTGTTTTCTTTTGGATTCTTTTATACACGGAAGAATGTCTTTTGTTTGACGGACTAGTTTCCGAAATTCTCCAAATAGCAAAACCAATTCAACACTCATAGGTCTCTTATGAGAAATAAGGCTATTGTCTCCATGACAATGGAAAAGCTTTTATTTATTCACAAACCATTCTCTTTAGACGGTAAGGGGCATTTAAAACTTTTCCAAATGAATAATCCAAATAAGTCATTAAATAATTTACATATTTTATCCCCCATGGAAACATTGGACGCAATCGAGCGAATTATAACTTCAAGCAGTTTCTGAATTGTGACATTTAGTGAATATGCAGAAAGCATTATTTCAGAATTTTCTATATTCCATTCATCAGTTAAAACTTATAAAACATCGAACGGTTTGATATTTCATTCGTGTTAATGTTTATTGAAGGGTTTACACCCATAGAGACACCAAATGATTTGTATAGGAAACAAGACTTATGATTCCGCAGAAGAACGAAATACTAAAAAGTATCAAATTTTTTGTTTTATATTTAATGGAAGTATTTCTACTTGTTCCGAATAAAGATGTCATTTATTTTTGTTGAAGGCGTTCCAGACATAAACTAGTTTTTATATATTTATTCCATTCGCATAATCTCTAAATCAGCATGAAATTAAGAAAACAGTCTAGATTAAATACCTTCAGCAAAATGATTCCTCATGTATGCCCATTGGAACAGTTATATTTCCAAAAATACTTTTATAGGATATATATATGTACATATATATAGGAAAACTTAAAAGTTAAGGAATTTCAAAATTTATTTAATATATTATATTATATTATATTATATTATATTATATTATAGCATCATTGTCTCTTTGGTAACATAAACTCTGCTAGATCCTACTAAGGAACCTGGCGACTTCTCGCATAGGCGTAAATTATATCAACACAGAAGAAGGGTAAAAATAACCCGTTATTGATTCTCAAACTCTGAACAGAAAAGACACATGCTTCGTGCTTATCACCGACAACTTGCAGTGGAAGGTAATCATCGTTACATAATAAATTCAAAGATAAAGAGTACAGATGGATAAAGAGTACAGATCGTTACATAATAAATTCAAAGATAAAGAGTACAGATGGATAAAGAGTACAGATCGTTACATAATAAATTCAAAGATAAAGAGTACAGATGGATAAAGAGTACAGATCGTTACATAATAAATTCAAAGATAAAGAGTACAGATGGATAAAGAGTACAGATCGTTACATAATAAATTCAAAGATAAAGAGTACAGATGGATAAAGAGTACAGATCGTTACATAATAAATTCAAAGATAAAGAGTACAGATGGATAAAGAGTACAGATCGTTACATAATAAATTCAAAGATAAAGAGTACAGATGGATAAAGAGTACAGATCGTTACATAATAAATTCAAAGATAAAGAGTACAGATGGATAAAGTACAGATCGTTACATAATAAATTCAAAGATAAAGAGTACAGATGGATAAAGAGTACAGATCGTTACATAATAAATTCAAAGATAAAGAGTACAGATGGATAAAGAGTACAGATCGTTACATAATAAATTCAAAGATAAAGAGTACAGATGGATAAAGAGTACAGATCGTTACATAATAAATTCAAAGATAAAGAGTACAGATGGATAAAGAGTACAGATCGTTACATAATAAATTCAAAGATAAAGAGTACAGATGGATAAAGAGTACAGATCGTTACATAATAAATTCAAAGATAAAGAGTACAGATGGATAAAGAGTACAGATCGTTACATAATAAATTCAAAGATAAAGAGTACAGATGGACTAACAATTTAAGTTAAGGCTAACTAGACTGACTCAACATCCTACCCGACATTATGCTTATTAAATGTCCAAAAAACGCGTATCAGCAACTCCGCGTAATAGCTAGGACAAGTGACCGTACGCTGGCTAGCAACATCACGCTTTGAATAAACTACAAGAATTACTCAAGTACTCACTTTACTTAAATTTCAATTTGCATCCTGGCGAGGAAATGCGAGAGAAAAATGTGAGATTCAGGAAAGTCATCAAACTTAAAATAATTTGTTATGCAAAATAAGAGAAACCCTACAATATGTAATATTTACATGAGTTTTCAGCGCAAAGGTTAAAAATTTCAGGCTAGAGAGAATACGAAAGAGATAGCTAGGCGATGCAAAATCCTATAGTAATGCATGGTCGGAAACGCTATGACATTTAAAAATTACAAAATTTAAAAATTACAAAATTTAAAAATTAAAATTCAACTGTATAGAATATTACTCATATCTACAAAACAATTATTAAAAACTATTTTATCGCTTTTGGGACAACTTTTTGAGTTTTTTTAACGATTAATTGATTTTAAAATTTAATTAAAGTTTTACACTAAATAATATTATTTATTCCCTTTTTGTTTTACATGAGTAAGATTTTAAATTTCATTCAATTAATATGCAATCTTTTTCTTTGACTAAAAAATAAAAATTAATTTAAATGAAATATTTAAAAGTTTCTCTTTTGGTTTCAAAATTGCATATTACGTACAAGATTTTAACCTTTTGAGCGATTATTTTGTAGTCAAGGTTTTTTAGTTTCGCCGATGAAGCCTGTACGTACCTTTCTGTTTCGCCTCTCATGTTTAGACTGGAGTTTAATAGAATGATGGAAGTTCTTAATTACTTTTCTAATTCTTAATACTTACTCCACTAAATGGGTTCTTTCAACTATCTCTTAATTCAATTGGATTATCTGATTAAAGGTATACATTTGGATTTAAAACTTTTCACTGAAGTATTTTTTTTTCACTTTCGTTTTCAATTTTTTAAAAGGGTAGAATTCTCTTTATTTAAGATTATTCTAACTTTCCTAATTAGAATTTACTTTGTTTTTTACTTCTTTGCGGAAGGGGCAGAATTTTCGGGTGAACTATTATAATTATAATTAAAATACATTGAAATGGTTCATCTAATTCTGGATACAGAAAAACAAGGATTTTTGTAGAAGAGAGATTTCAATTAATTTTCAAAGTTTCTCCCCCCTGAAGAAGTGACACTGCGGTTGATTGAATTCCTTTTCTGTTTTTGTTCATTTTCATTAAATTTTATAAATTTTCTGGAGTTTTGCTTCTTTGAAATGTTTTGATTTTAACATTTCTAAAATTCTTTGTTGCATTTATATGATTATTTGAAACTTATTAATTATGAATTTCAATTTCTGCTCTTTGTAAACTATTAGTTTTAAATTTCTTACTTTATGTCATTAATGATAACTTTTCAGCAGATTAATGCGTGAAAATACCAGGCATGTTTGTGTTTTGTTTCCAAAAGTTTGGAAAATAATTTACAAAATAATATTTTGTTATTTATATATAAAATATATGTATATATATAAATATATCTATATACACTGGTGTTCAAAATTTAAGCAACAGGTGTTCTTTTTGCCATAACTTCACGAGAAATCGTCTGAGAGATATGAAATTCAGAAGTGAGAGACAGCATTTTGTAATTAAACGATGATGAAAGCATAGCTGCGCAAAAAGGAATAGAATGCATACAGTATTGAATCAAACAAAAAAGGCTTTATTGAACTCATAGTATTATTACACCTGATTGTCTGTACAAGAAGAAGAACAACAAGCAGATGTTCCTTAGCATGGGATATGCCCTCCACTTAGTAAAATGGTTGCTTCGCACCGTCTCTCCATACTCAGCACCAGGTTGTCAAACAGATTGTAGAATTCCTCACTTTTATCTTGTTAAATGTAATGTCTAGGAATCTAGTGAACTACTAAGCGAATCATCGCTTAAGTCCAAGAAGAGAAACGTATATTCAAGAAGGGTTAATTACCCTTTATTTTCTCAAAATAAAGATTTAACAGTCGGACCTTTTCTCAGAGCATACAGCAAAGCCTTGATTTGGACTTAAAATATAAGAAATAAGTATTAACTAATGACTAACTAAAGAGATTTAGCCAAAACCAATACAATTTTAAACTAATTGGCTCATAATATTAACATAGCCAGCGAAGCTATCAAATGGCACGCAGTACGACCAAACGTAGTAGCAGTTTAGAGAGACGTAGCCAAAAGGCAAACGGGCGCTATTCAGAATGCTCTCTCCTTGGAAGTTAGTGAAACTACTACTCTACTTCTTATTTGCATTTAAAGCGATTCTAAAACCTTATTCTAGTAAGGAATTGTAAACTGAAGCTAGAAGAGATAGGAAAGTAATGTAAACTTAAAATAACTGTTATAAAATTAAAATATACCTTACAAGATCTTGAGGTTAGTGTGCTCCAACATTTGTTTCAGTTGTTGGGTGTTCCCCAGAGGATGTAATCGTGCCACAAGGCGTCTTTCCAAAGCATCCTACACACGTTCGATGGGATTTAAATCAGGGAAGTATGCTGGCCAATCCATTCAAATGATAACTTCACTTGAATGGATTCACTTTCCAGCAGCTTCGGAAGAGTGAATCGGAATCGGGTGTGGTCACGCACTGCCATCCATAAAAATGAAGTCTGCTCCAAAGGCACCTCGGACCAGACGCACATAGGAAAGGATCACCATCTTACATTAGCGATCTCTGGTTACAGAACTTCTGTGGAAAGTGTAGCTCTGTCCGCCCGTTCAGCATAATGCCTTCCCAGGCGAGAATTCCAGGACCACCGTAACGGTCTCTTTGAGCAATTTTACTGGGATGAAACCTTGTCCTGACAGTTGAGAATGGCTAGTGACGCTAAAACGATTCTTATTCGTAAAGAGAATACGACTCCGTTGATGAGATGTCCACGTTTTGTGCTCCTTGGACCACTGTAACCGGTGGCGCCGATGGCCAACTTTCGAAGGGATGCAGCGTTCAGGACGGGGGACGAACAGGCCACCTTTGTGAAGGCGTCTGTATACAGTAAAATGGGACACTTATACACTCATGGTAAAAACACATGAAAACATATGAGCATAATAGGTAAAA